ACCGCCTACCTGGTAGTAAAAGACATGATTCCTGAGAAACAACAGGAAACAAGAGCCAAAGTGGGGGAAGCCTTACCTTTGCCCCACACAGAGAAAGTTTCTGGGCCAAAGGGCAAGGAAGGGGAGTCCACGTAGACCTGGTGACATGTTGCTGAGTTGCAAGTCCAGAGATGTCAGTGTGACGAGAGTTTACAGAAAAGAACACCAAAGAGTACACACACAACTCTGAAACCCAGAGACTCCTTAAATCCTCAGGATCCTGATCAGCATGCACGTGTGCACAAACTACTGTAACCTTGGTGAAGAAGCACCTGAAAGGATTTAAGGGAACAAGCCAAAGAGCTCACAAAGGGCCGGGACCAGTCCTCATAATTTGCAGGGTAATGGGAGAGTACTCTAAAGAGCTTTGCCTCAGGAATGGGAAAAAAATTAGGCCTAGATCAAAATGTTGGTCTGTTTCCACCTGACAAAGTTTAAAAGCAAAATTTGAAAAGATCAAACGGTTTCCAGATTATTTATCACCAAAAAAAAAAAGCTTAAGAATATTTATAGGAAAACAAAAATATCCTGTACCTGACAGGCTAAAATTCATAACATCAGAGATCCATAAAAAATTACCAGGCATGCAAAGAAGAACTATTATTTTTAAAAATAATTTTCTTGCAGTTTTACTGAATCTTAAATTTTCCTAAAAAAAAAAACTGTCATTTTTATCATTTTCACCCTGTGCATTAATCTCAAAATTCCTCATCCACATAATTGCACTGCTGTTCCCCATATGAAATATTAACACTTCTAAGACAAACAGCATAGTGAATAAAAACACAAGCTCTAGAGACAGATAAACCAAAAATCTAAGTTTGAATTCTTCTCAACTTACTTCTGTGACTGTGGGCAAGCAACTGAACTACTCTGAATTTTATTTATTTATAAAATGAGTATAGTAGGGTTGCTGAGAAATATCCCAAATTAAACACAATAAATAACAGCTATCATTTCATAGTTAACAGGTTATCCTAAGAAAAGTTACATTCAAACATTTACTGAACACTTGTCACATCTTGGTAATATGTAGGTACCAGGAAAACAAAAAACACTATTAAAAGGACCCAAAGAGTATCTTATATTGAATCCCCATTTAAAAGTTCCTTTAAAGTACAAACTTTATATTCTATTTCTTAATTTCTAAGTAGGGCAATTATTTTAAGTTCTGCCTATAAAAGTTAAAGGATGATTTTTTTTTTTCTCTTTGAAAGGGAAAAAAAATAAGAACTTGTCAGCTTCAACCAATTAGGACATACCTGAGAAATCCTTGGAATCTGAAAAACATGATAAAACTTTAATTTAAAAGCAACCTGCAATTAACATCACCTTTCAAAATTATTCTTAAATTAGTAGACTAAATTATATCCAGACATAAAATACATAAAATGGACCAATCTGTTATTATGATAATCTTTTCAGAAAGGCTTGGCTAACAGATGTAAGGAATTAAAATCAAGTTCAAGTTTGTATTTCATTTGCTCATTCCACTTAAAGGACAGATGGTTTAAAAATTAACCCTATTAATAAAACGTTTGCATATTCATTATGAATCTGATTGCTTTACCTCATACTCCTTAAATTCATTTTTTTAACTTTACTATATGGCTGCCCAACTCTTTCAAGGTCTTCTGAAGCCTTGCCTCTCAAAGTGTGGTTCTAGAATCAAAAGCATCAGCATCACCTGGAAGCTTATTAAAATTCGAGACTTGCATTCCCCACACCTGACCCACTGAGTCAGAATTTGCATTAAAAAAATCCAAGTGATTTCTATGCACTTTGAACTCTGAGCAGCATAATTCTAAACCACTTTTTTTTTCCTTCACCTTTCTTTTTTTACAGAGTTACAAAAAAGTTTTTGTTTTTTTTTACTTCCAAATTATGGCTTGGTTACCTCCAGATGCTGACTTTTAACAAGAACAATCAGGCAAATAAATCAAATCAATATACATATGTGTTAGAGATTCTATATGTAATATTTATGTCTCAGACTTGACCTTTCCTCATTACTAGGACTTCAAGTCTTACATGTCTTGTACTATTCAAATTTTCTTTTAAGTTGACATTTTTTTTCCTTAGCATGTGGCCAAATGAAAGTATTTTGTGCAATTAAACTACTATAGAGAACAGTACCAGGATGTCAGTCTTCCCATAATTTCGGAAAAAAACTCAAAATAGGTTCAACCAAGGTTGAACTTGAAAGTTCCCTAGAGGGGAAAAAAAAAAAGGCCAGAATGGCTCTCTCCTCCATATAATATATTTTTATGCTTTACCTAACATTTTTTTTTATACTGCAGGTACTTTATATTTTTAAAATAAGAAATTCACACAGACTTAGTACAGTTCTTTATATGGATCATTTTCTATTACTATTACACAATAGTTACAGAGCACATAAAATAGAACAAATTTTATTTTCTCTTTCGTTCCCCACCCCCCTACCCCCAAAAAATGACAGACCTAGAGGCTGAAACTGATCACAGCAGGCAGGATAGTTCGGCATGGATTCAAAGGAAGGTACAAATGTTCAGTTTTCAAAAGCACTGCAAAAGCTAACCTCATCTCTTGTCACTGTAGCATGGCTTTATGCCAAACTTTTGAAAACTTGAAAAATATAGTTCCTTATAAGCAATTATGAAGAGCTTTGCAAATAGAAGGAGGAAAAATTGTAATAACAATCTCCTTACATTGGTCAAAGTCAATGGACTCTGGGTTTTGGGACAAGAATCTAAGGGTTATCCAACTGCATCTGAGTCAATGTGGCCAATAAATATGCCTTAGGAGAAAGGGTTTTAAAGATGTTAAGAGAAGCTACCAACAGGTCTGCTGGGCACTCTCAAAAATTAAATGTCCTCAAACATCCCAGTTTTTATTTTATAAGATCATATTCTAGGTTAGTCATCCTTCTCTTTAACTCTTTATTTATTCCATATTGCATTTGCAGCCTATATAATTTCTCAGGATACCGTGTTCCACAAGAATATAACTAGGTATTTAAAGCCTTTTTTTACGGTCTTCAGTATACAGGTATCAAGTTTTAAGTAGTGTCCCCAGCTATAATAATCTAGAATTTGGTGAACAATTCATCATGCCCCATCTTTACTCACATTCAGTCAACTCTTGGAATTGTGCACACTGGCTCCACTTCCTCCACTACCAGTCACTTTCCAGCCCTCTCTTATCTGGTTCCATCCCTCTTCACTCCACTGAAACTACTCTTGGTAAAGATCACAAGGCCCTCCATGTTGCTAAATCCAACAGACACCCCTTAGTCATTGTTTTTCTTCACTTTGCAGCATCGTTTAATGCAGTTTTCTCCTTCTTGAAATAATTTTCTGTAGCTTTGATGGAACCTTCTTTCTCCAGAGTCCCTCCCAACTTTCTGTCCATTGTCAGTCTTCCTTAGAGACTCTGTCTCCTCTACCTGACCGACAAATGTTAGACTATCTTGGGGCCTGGAATCTCACGTAATCTTATTACATGCTGACACACTTAGATGCTGACAACACATATCTACAGCCCAGATCTTTCTTCTGAGTCTAGACCAGTGTACCAAATTATCTATCCAACATTTCCACATGAATGCTTCAGAAACATAAATTCAATACTTCCAAAACTGAAGTCTTGGATCTTTCCGTTGCTGTTTCTTCAACATTTCCCATTCCCTAAGGATCAACCCAGTTGTTGCTGCTAGAAACTCAGAAGCTCTTTGCTCTCACCACTCATTCAATCAGTTTCTCTTTTGATCTCCAAAATACATCCAGTTTCCCCTTTTCTACTGCTATCCCTGCCTCCCTACCTTCCGTTTTAAGTCATAACCTCTTACCTAGCATATTGCAATAGCGTTCTAAGTGATTATTTTATTTTAATCTACTCCTATTCCCTTCCAATTCTGTTTCCACACGTCAGCCAGAGTGAGCTTTCAAAGGTGAAACCTCCTAAGAAAAACCCATCAGTAGCTTGCTGTTGGTTTTAGGATATTGTTCACAAGGCATCTGCCTAGCTCTCCAGACAACCTCATCTCATTTTATCATTCCCCTTGTTCTCTCAGTATCAGCCTTACTTTTTTTCTCTGTAAATCACTTGTGTTAAGGTTTTTCTAAGTACCCCACCTGGAATATTTCTTCCCTTTCTTCTACTTTTCTCCTACCCCTGCTGCCCAAACCACACCAAAACACACAGGCACATGCATAATCCAAAACTACACCCAATATAGTCAAATCAGACCAAAAGAATGGACAAGTCATGGTATTTAAAATATCAGCAGGACAAAAAAATATAATAATGATGGCAAACCCTTACATAACTTTATACAGACATTTTGAGGTTATCTTATTCAATGTTCACAACAATCATATGAAGTAGGTATTATTATTACATCTCTTTGTAAGATAAAGTGAATAAGGTACAGATAGAAGATAAGTTAACCAAGATCACAGAAATCCAGCAGCAAAGCTAGGATTCAAATTTAGTACTTCTGTGTATTTGCCTGGGTGCCTGTAAGCATGACAATCGGTTATGACGCCATCGTCTTTTCACAGGAGGAATGTGGAAGTGATTTATATAATTATGTTGTTATCTGGATACAAACTATGTCTTCCACCAGACTAAAACCATAAATGTGGGGAGAGACTACTTACAACTGCTCACTGATACATCCCCAGCACACCTAGATAATTGATGCTCAATAAATATTCGTTGGATATATGAATGGTTACTATCCCCCTGCGTAATTATTTTGAGAATGTTCTGGGTTCCAATCGTGCCTTATATTACTGTTACAGGGCAACTCCGATATGAAATGGGTTGTCTGACATGTTTCCTATGCTGCTGTCGGCCAGCTCTGCCCTCACCATGCCGGTCAATGCCCATGTCCTCTCCTCTGTCCATGTGCTGGCCGAAGTCTTCCTTCCCTGGCGGGTGGAAGGGCCTCCGCTCTCTTTGCCCTCAGGCCTTACCTTCCAAGTCGGGGAAGAGGCTGTCCCCGCTCCCTGATCTGGCCTAGGCGGCTCTCCGGTGCCCAAGGGCATGAAGCGCCCATACCTCTGTAGCGGCCACTGGGCAGCAGCTCCTCCCGTGACCCCCAGAAGCACCTGCTCCTTTCCCGCCTCCGCCATGTTGGGCGTCTCGACGTGTGCTGCCCTGCGCAGTGACCAATTGGCGCAGGCCACCAATCAGGAAGCGAGGAGGCGTAGACCCGCCCACCCCTGGAGTGGAAGCCAATCAGAAGCCCCAAGACTCCTGCTGGGCAGTGGGCGTTGTTCTTGGCCTAGGGCACGTTTGCTGCCACGAGGGGAAAGCCAGGAAAGTAACTTACACCTTGCAGTGGGGCAGTAACGTTGATAAACGGCAGTTGGACTGGAATCTGCAGTCTTCTGCCCTCCCACCCCCTTACCGCAAACACTCCATGTCTTCTTCGGGTATCTCCGACAGCAGCATTTTCCGAAACTGACCTTTGCTGGGACAAGTGTATCTGCTTCCCTACAATAGCCTTTCATATGACAATGATCTTCCCCACCTCAAACCCACCACAGCACATCTCCAGTTTCAGTTTCCGTTCAGAAAATTGGGCTATTTCCTCTTTATCCCTGCTGCCCCTACACATACTTCCTTCAGATCCTCATGTTCTCTTCAAAATAGAGGCGCAAGTGGGTGAGGGGCTGCCAGCAATAAAAGATGTGCCTCAATCAAACAGCAGGTGCAACTGAAGAACAGGTCTGTGTGATTTATAGTCGACAAAACACTTCTACATCTGTTATTTCATTTGTCCTCCCAACAACCTTGTCGTGAATTAAAGAAGCAAAGCAGAGATTATTACCCCCATTGAATAGGTGCAAACAAGATAAGGTCCAAAGAGTAGAAGTATAAAACTGCTGACTCCACCAGTTCTCCAAGTGCCCATCCCGCTTGCAAAGAATTTAGTACTCATGCAATCTGTATGCACAGTCCAATCAAAAGCAAAGTTTACAGAGGATGGAAGCAAACACAGAAAGTAGTTACAATGCAAACAATTTTTTAAAACTATGCATGTCAAAAGCTATTAAATGTATAGACAATAGTTGGAGAGGTGGTAATTTATTCACTCTTGAAAGAACTGATGAAATATCTATAGTGTGGAGCCACATGTTACCACAGGGGTTACAGAAATGGGAAAAACATGCACCTAGCTTTCTAGAACCTCAGAATCTAATAAAGACAAAGAAAGATGGAAAATACCCATGATATCTGACTCTGCCACATGGAAATTACAAACCATGTGTGCTCTCAGGGCTCAGATGATGTGATATCTACCAACAGGAATGGCAGTGGCCATTTCACTTCTAACCTGAAGGGTGAGAATAAGTTTCACAAGGCAAGATGAAGGAAACTGATCTCCCACGTGAATGGGAAATTGAGGAGCAAAGTTTCAGAAATGAGAATAAGGACATAAGTAGCTAGAATGCAAAGTGGTTTTCAAAGATGAGGCCACAAAGGTGAGGTGGGCAGGAAAGCACTGAAAAACAGTTAAGAAGAATGGATTTTACTTTGTAGGTGGTGAGGAGTGTGGAAGATTTGCATAGGGCAGTGATATATCATAATGGTGGTCCAGGCAGACTAATCTTTCAGGGACATATAGAATAAATTGTACTAAGGCAAGGAATATCCATTTCGTATGTCTCATTATTCCAGTAGAGCTTGCTGAAGAGGTCAGATTTCAGAAACTAATTCTAAAGGCCTTTAAATGACACAGCAATACAGCATTTAAAATAGTAGTGAAATGGTTAGAAATCTAGTTTAAATCCCAGTTCCGCCACTTGCCAGCTGTTTAACCTTGGGGAAGTAACTTAACCTTTGTGTAAAATAGGGGTAAACATTACCTACTTATGGGGTCATCAGGAGGTTATAATAAGATAGCATATGGGAAAATACTTGGCAAATTACAAAAGCAATATACATGTCTGGTACTTCCTATTTCCAGAGTTAAACTGACTTTCTGTGGGCTCCCTGCAGGCAGGGAAGATGGTAATGGGAATCTGACATTCGGTCTCAGAGGCGCTCACCTTCCAGGTCCAGGGCTGTGGATGCTGTCAGACACCCTTCACAGGAGCAGATGGTGCTCACAGTTGGGACCCTGTCAGTGCCCAAGGACACCCAGGGCCCTGCTGGGTTCCCACCTGCAAGCTCCCTTCCTAGACAATGCACCTGTGCTGAGCTTCTGGGGCCACCAGTGCCTGCCAAGAACAGATCATGTCTGAAAAGGGATAGATGATAAATCCACAACCCCATGGACAGAACTCTTCAAAAATTATAATATTAACAAATGTGACTTCACAATATAATATAAGAGTTCCCAGGTGCTGGACTGGGTTATAAAGATACAGTAGAGAACAAAACAGACTTGGTTTCTGCCCCCCTGAAGCTTATAGTCTAGTGGGGGAGGGAGAGGGACAGAACACTGAACAAATTACTCCATATTTTAATGGCCACTCTTAAAAGATAAAATTGTTACACACACACACACAGAGGACAGTGTATATATACATATATATTATTATATATATTATTCAATAAAAATAACAGATCTTGTGCAATTTGGTGAGCTTTGACATCCATATATACTCATGTAACCACTATCTAAATCTATTCCAAAAACCCTAAATTCCTTTGTGAGTGCCTCTTTCCAGTCAATCACCAAATCCCAAGGACAATCATTAAGTCTGGGTTTTGTCACCATAGCTTAGTCTTCCTATACCTGGACTTCATATACATGAAACACATAGAATGTCCTATTTTAATATTGCTTCTTTTGCCCAGTGTAGTCTGTCTTTTAACTTGTTGTTGTATCAATAGTTTATTCTTTCTTAGTGAGAAATAGCATCCTACTATGTAATTATATCACAATTTGTTACTCACCTCTTAATGTACATTTGGATTGTTTTCCATTTTTTAGGTTGTTGTAAACCTTTATTACACAAATCTTATTTTTGTAGATATGCGCTGGTATTTATTTCCAGTATATAGCTGAGTTGAATTGCTTGGTTCTAGAGAGATATATGTTCAACTTTATAAAAATACTGGCAAAAATTCTCCACAGTGGTTGTACCATTTTGCACTCCTACCAGAATAATATGAAAATTCCAGTTGTCCTTGTTGAAATTTGTATTGTAAAGTATTTTTAGTTTCAGCAACTCTAGGGCTATGTAGTAGTTTTAATTTGCATTTCCCTGATGAATAGGATGTTGAGTATCATTTCAAATGGTTTACTGGTCATTTATATATCTTATTTTATGAAGTGTGAAAATTTTTTGCCACTTTAGGCATTCTTTACATATTCTAAATAAAAGTCTTAAGTCATGTATAGGAATTGAAAATATTTTTCCTGGTCTATCCCTTGACTGTTCATTTTCTTAACAATGCTTTTCTTTTTTTTTTAAGATTTATTTATTTATGCATACAAGAGCTGGGGTACAGGCCAGAGATTTGGGGGGTGAGAGGATTCACCAGAGACAGAGTGGGGAACAGAACAGGCAGATTGACTGAAATACACTGCTGAAGGGAGCAGTGGGCAAGTCAGGACAAGTCTGCTGCGCCATGTGGGTCACTTCCCTGGCCGGGGATCGAACTTGTGCTGCAGTGGCTGCGGGTAGCTTCATAGTGCTGCGTCTCAACCCCTTGTGCCACCAGAGAGGCCCCAAACAATTCTTTTTAAAAAGTGGAAGTATTTAATTCTGAATGTAGGACAATTTATTATTTATTCAGATATCCTTTTTAGTGCTTCCAAAGAAGTTTTTGCCTACCCTAAGTTTGCGCACATATTCTCCTCTATTTTCTTCTAGAAACTTTTTGGTTCTAACTTTTATATCTAGGCATATGATCCTTCTTGCATTAAATTGTGTTAAGTCAGGTAGGAATTAAGGTTCATTTTTCCTCCTTTACTATATACAGAAGGAACAGCCTTCAACCGATGACTGATGAAAATTGGCATAAATACCCCAACTTTCTTATTCTTTTGGTGGGATAATGCTGAAATTTGTGTAGTGCCCTGTCTCCCAGAATTCACCCACGGGATAAGGCTCCAGTTACCCTGGAGTAACTTGCTAGGTAAAGATTCTTTTTTGCTTCTCTGTCTCTCTCCCCACCAATGTCTCCTCAGATCACCTCTCAAATAAATTACTTCCGCTTAATCTTTGTCCCAGGGCCTGCTTCTAGGGAACCCAAACTAAGAGAGTAACAAAAAAGGCAGACCATCCCTGCCCTCTTTCATTTAGCTATAATATCATTATATATAAGAAGATGGTGCAATAAGCATTCAAGGCAAGGCGATTCAGTCTCTCATGCCAACACATCCTCTAATGTCTGACTGACCAGCAGCAGTAAAATAGCAGCATTTGTGGCCAAAATTAATGAATGACAGGTGACTGTGAGATAACATATCCCCCTGTTAGGAAACAAATAATAGTTGACAAAAACTTAGCCCCAAACATTAAAAAAATGGTCCTTCACTTCACTGAGCATCTTTTGATCCCAAATCCTTTTACCATGTAACCCCATTTTGCAGATGGCATAAATGACAGAGAGCTGCTGGCTGTGTGAGTACTCAGCATCATTCCTGGAGGCAAGCTGCAGGACTTCTTTTGGAATCATTGCAAATGGTGTTGAAAGCAGAAAAGGGACTCCATAAATCCCCTCTCCCTAGCTGTTTAGCCAGCTAAGGAAATGATGGCTTTGGTTTCCTGGGGTCTCCTAGATGGTAAAGAATTATGTACTCTTACTCTGCCTGCCATGTCCCACAAAAACAGTACTGGGGACCACACAGGACAACTGAGAATTTTGGGGCAATGTTGGTGGCTGTGGGAGTTTCCCAAAAAAGCCCTGTTTGCATCAGTAAAGCTAGATGAGGTGTCTCCATGATGTCTAACTTGGGGATGCTGTGTTAGGAGGGGTTGCTTCCATGGAACTTTACACTCACTGTTAGAAAGCAATTATTTTCAAGCTTCTGCTCTGTATCTTTCATGTGCAAAAACTACCCCATGTCAGGTAATTGAAAGGATTTCATTGTGACAACAGACAATCTCAGCCTGTCCACAGGCGACTGATAATTGGCACAACATGACAAGAGACTACACTGACTTATCCCATTCATTAAAAGTACAGAGA